GCATTTCTTTCCATTTTATTATTTATTTGCCATTTTATGGCTCGGATTGTCAAAAAATGCATCTAAATATTTGTTAAGAACTTGTGGTTTATTCAAGAATTTTACAAATCGATGAGCATTTAGAAATGATTTAAAACTTAATTTAAATTAAAATAAAGGAGAAATAAGTCTACAAATGTATTCAATTTTTTTTGAATATTTCCCTATTTGTTTGCCATTTGATGGCTCCGCATCAAACTTATTCATTAAAAATTAAATCCAAAGCATTGACACATACATATGTATGTACAACTTTCGTCAAGCAAGCGGTGTTTCTCTCAGAATGGAGTTCCGCATCGAGGAAGCTCTGATAAAGGAGAAGTGCGTCTATATATTGCGTGACCTCTTGATACTATTTACAAGTATGTGTGTATTTAAACACAAATGTATGCCAGTTATTTGAAGTTGTCAGTTATCGGCAAGATAATGACCCAAAGCAAAAGTTGAATGGCCATCGAACAGTTTACTCAGCATTTTTGGAATGACATTGCGGCACAAAATATTACGAATTTGAATATGTTAGTTGAACAAATAGAGGAACTTGTCAAAAGGTGTTGCAGCGCTCTGTTAAAAGAGTAATTTATAACTCTTGAATATTTCATTCTTTTCTTTAGAGTTTAATGTTTCTGAAGTTTAAACAAAAAACATTTGAAGCTATTGACTTTAACTCAATCATGTTATTTTTTAAGCTTTTATGTTTTACATTTACATTTCAAATTATATAAACAAACTAAAAAAAATGAAGATACTTGTAGAAACAATCAACACATTTGTTTTCAATTAGCTGCTATGCATACATTCGTGCATCCGTATTGAATGGGGGAATCACTTATTTCTTTGCACAAATGAGAGTTTGAAAGAAGGGGACTTATGCATGCTTGGGATGTTCATTAATGAAACATATTGGGGCTTATTTGCTTAACATTTTCAAACTTTTAACAAAGCATAAACACAAACTATTCTTTGGAATATCTGCAAAAAACAAAGGGCTTTCCTCAATCCAAAAATATTTGTTATTTTAAAGCAACAAACGGTCCACTACTGACATTAATTAATTTAAAAAATATACATATATCAATGATGTCGCCTGTATATTGATTTTAAATAGGCCCAAGAAAATTGTACGTAGCAATTACTATTTTAAAAAAATGGTCTTGTCCACCACAAAGAATTAAGTAGCCTTTAAAAATAACCTAATGAGACTTATTTATAGCATTTAGGGGATACCCTTAACTAGCAATGCGAGACTAATAAAATCCTTCGATTATTAGAGGCAACTCCCAATTACTGGGATCGATAACTGCTTTAATAATCTGATTACGCATTCGAGCTCCATTCTACTTGCTTGATATACACATGTACATATGTATGTATGTGCATAGTGTGAAAGGACACTGGCGAGGACATATGCCTATATACCTACAAGTATACCAGAATAGAATAGAATGCCATGTTTCTATGCGATGTATTCAATGTAAATGGCCTATCCATGTAAATGCTGCTAACAAAGTTTCGCTTCGACTAAGCTGCACTTCAAGGTGCATTTTGATTGCGAAGGCGCACAAAAGTATGCTATGCAACAGTCAGGATAAAAGGCTGAATGTGGCATTTCGATTTTTATTCTCTTTGTGCTTGTGGTTTCTATTTCACAGCAATTTTTAGTTTTAGTCTGTTCAAAAAAATCAGAGAAGAAAAAACAAGTGAAGTGCGCCGTGCCGCCGCGTCTGACCTTGACATGTCGCACAGCGTGGCAAGTGCGACGACTGTGTGTTAATGCGCCAGTGGGTTGGTCGATCACCAACAAAGCCGACGCCTATTGGGTCGGCACACGGTAGCGGTGGTGCTAGAGGCAAATGAGAGAGCTGGGGCGGCCGCTTAATGCTGGCTTGCTATGCCAATTAGAATTACAATTTGACAGATACCAATTGGCTTGGCTGCCGAGTTAAAAGCGAGCCACACACGCATACAAATAAATGTATGTACATTGTATGTATGTATATGGGGGAAGTGCAGGTGGGAAAAAAAACAAGGAGAAGCAGAAACAGAAGCAGGACGAAAACAACAACGCTTGCATGTATGCTTGCGGGTGTGTGTGTGTGTGTGTGTGAAAATTAATTATTTAACCCATGTTCAACGTACAAGCCATAAAAACGTAATTACATATGTATGTATGTATGTATGTATATATGTATGTACTAGTCGCATGTGAGTGTGTCATGTGCCGTTAAAATTTCGGCAGACAGACAGACAGACAGGCATGAAAATGTGTCTCTGGGTGCTCGTTTGTATGCATGTATTGGTATTACATATTTATAGATTAGCCAAACAAAACAAAAAAAAAAGCAACTAACCAACTAGAAAAAAATGTTTGCTTTAACATAAAGAGGCAACGAGGCCGAAAGCTTGCTGCCAAAATATTAATACGAAAATAATTTTTTTCTTTTTGGCAACACGCTTTTTGCGGCGGCAACTCTCAAACATAACAGCAAAGCCGCTGCCAAAGCTCTCTCGCACACACAACACACACACACACTAAGAGAGGGAGAGAGCGAGAGAGAGAGCGAGAGTGCGACATATACACACATACGTAAGCACATTTACACACCGACACGGACACGTGTGCGAAATAGCATTTACATTAACGCATCAGCAGCAAACACGCTGCTTTGGTCTCCTCTCTCGTTTGGTCCTCCACGCCAACTCACTCACTCACACACAGACACTCAGAGGGCTGCTGCTCATTATACCCTTCAAGGAAAACTGTGAGAGTACATTGTATTTGATGTATAAGATTGTAACACCCATAAGCAATTAGGTACTATAGTTACAGTTTCTTCAGCGAAAGCCATCATATGATCATGAACTTGAAGTAATAGTTATTGTTCGCATTTTAATCGCAATCATTTATTCGAAATTAAGAACAGGTTGATTTGAATTGCATCGCTATTAATTTCTCGTACAACCTAGCAGTTAAAACTTTGCAAAAATCGTTTATCTCTTTTAAAATTTGAAAGTAAAATACAAATAAATTAGAATTATTTGCATTCCACTCACGTAATGATAAAACTTGAAAAACCAAAACAGCTAGCACTTTTGATTGAGTATAATTTGATCGAAATCGGAAACGACAGCCGGCTCGAATATCTATAGAGGTTTTTTATGCTAAGCAGTTTTGTTTATGAAGATACTATTGGGAACAAATTGCACATCAGATGGTGTTGCATCACTCATAGTTATGGATGAAAAACATAATTTTCTCCTTAAAAAAAAACATAGATAGTACGAAAATGTTGGGTGTTATTTTTCGTTGTTATTAGCCACAGTGTAGGGTATAAAAAGCTTCGGCGCAAACGAACATAACTTCTAAGCTCGTTGTTGTTGATTTTCTGCTCGCATGTAATTTAAAATTCCATTATTTTTGGCCGCACATTAAGTGCTCTGCTTTTGTCATTATTATTATTTGTGTGTCATTACATTTGTGTGCGCGCGCTGTTGTTTATTTTTGGCCGCACCAGAGAATATTTTTAATTTCACTTAAAAAAAAAGAACAAGCGAAAAAAAAACCTTATATTCCCACACTATGCTCGCAACCTTTACGAGTCTGTGTGGATGCTGTGACTGCCACTTTACATATCATTTATTTGATTTTCTGCCTGCTACTGTTTTCCATAGCCAGGTTTCTTATGTTATATACATACGTATATATAGATGTATGTATGTGTGTATGTATGTATGTGTGTGTGTGTCTGCATATGTATATGTAAGTAGACCGCACTCATCTCTATTTCCGTTACAACTACAAAAACGACATCCCTTATTAAAAAAAAAGGCATGTAAAAACACAAAACAGTCACACACACATACACACAAATGCAGCGCGAAAAAAACGCTTACTTGCACTTGTATTTGTATCTCTAAGTATCCTGGCGCGAGCGAGCGAGCGAGCGAGCGAGCTGGCGAACACAAAAAACTAAAAATGTACGCACGGCGACGACAACGACAGAGGGCGCTTATTAAGGTGAACAACTTTTTATGCTCATGTCGTTCATTCAAAAATATAATTAAAGTCTTACTATAATTAATAAAGAATTAAAGCACGTTGGATATATTACGGTTTTCCCAAGTGGACTCGGATGTTGCTCTCTTATGAGCAAGCTCGTTACTTGCTTGGCTGCTGCTGCTACTGCTGGCTGTGTTTTCTGTTCCAACTACACGCACATAGCTGCGCACGGGACATGCGCAGAGCAAAGCGATAAACACAGGCAAGCAACACAGCAACTGCGGCACACGAATCAAAAAACCTAGTATACGTTAAATAATTTTTCAAAAAATTGATAAGACGATTTTTGTTTGAAACGGTCATTTCATATTATTTCACCTCCTCGTCGTGCCTTGTTGTTCGAAAGCGCACCGGTATTACAAACTAGACTTGTGAAATTATCGATGGCTCTATCGATATATATGAATTTTTTTTAGTGTGCTATCAATGGCTTTTCACTCTATTCTGTACACGCAGCGGGTAGGGGATATTTGCCAAATATGTCATTTGTACTTGGTGTTGCCGGCAATGAAAGCCTCTAAAATTCCAATACCACGGTTTCTTTCGGCTTTGACTGAGTAAACAAGATTGGTCAGCAACGCTAGCATCAAAATAGGCGAACTTAACAACAAAGTTCGTCGGCATGCTTGTTTATTTACAAAAATGATTATAATTCCTATTTATCTAAAACAACTAAAAATATCATTTTAACACATTACTGTCGTTCTATCAAATTGACTTTGTTCTCATACATGTACATACACAATTTAATTAATTCAAAAATTTGAGCGTTACTATCGATAGCATTGAGTTTGTTCTGAAAAATATCGGATATCGCCACTATCCATTAAGCAGGCCCAAGCCAACACTTGTACGCTATCGATATATTGCACGTGCAGATATCGTCAGCGCTGAAACAGCTGTTGCGCCCATTCAAAGAAACGTGACAACGATTTATAAACCTATGTGAGGGTCGAAGTAATAATAATGGCCAGGAAACGTAAAATACCAGCGAGAAAGCACCATGGTGTGCGAGATCCGCTCAAGCAGCTTGAGGCTAAAGAGCACAAGTAAGTGGGACGTGTGGAAATCAACTGAATGCTAACTTATTTATTGTGGCCCACACAGACTGGCTGGTGTAACAAACAATCCGCCCACAGCAAAGGACGAGCAGCGCGTCTCCTACAAATTCAAGCAGTTTAAAAAATTGGCCGACGAAGCCAAGGCAGGCAAAAAATTAAAGCGTATCCTGGTTGGACAGGAGGACAAGGGAAGTTCAGAAAAAAATAATGGAACAGCAAGAACCCAAACCCATCGAAATATCAAACAGTTTAGAGGTGAGGCCGATGAGGATTATCTGAAACGTGTAAATCGTATTACAAGCGCATCGGTGCGTGAGGCACAATATGAAGCTAAATATGGTGTTAGTGTCATACGGAATCCAAAGACTGGCGAGATAACGATACAAAAGCGTCCCAAAAATGAGATCGATGAGCTGCTCAAAAAGAAGCAAAAGGAGCAACGGCTGGCCAAAAATGGTCGCAGAAAGAAGACGACAGAAGTCAAGGGTACCATGGATGCTAAGACAAGCAAGGAGTTAATCAAACGTGCCTTCAAGGAAGCTGACCAGGAAGATGATTCAGACGAAGAGCTGGTAAATGCATGCATGCTGAAAATCCAACACCCCATTTTGTTGCATCTTCAACTCTTTTGCCGTTTTAGAATGCCACATCTTTGGAATACAAACGCGATACCTTCAAATTTGGAGAAATTGTTCATGCACCCCCTTCACTGACAACGCTGCCACGCAAGGCTGCCAAAAATGAGACTGTTCCACGACCAGGACGCAAGTCCAATTTGCTGCTCAAATCGCTTCTGGACACAACGCAGCCAGTCCAACCAAAGCCCAATTCACACAAGCAAACAGTCACCAAAGCGGTGGCGCCCACAAAAGCGCAGATGAAGGGAAAGCGCAAAGAATTGCCCGCTGCCACGCGTTCTATGCTCGAGGTGGAACGCAGCAAGATGGTCGAACTGTATCGGACGCTAAAAAAGACGCGAGAACTGCAGCGACAGCAATAAAGTCAGCTAATACTCTTCCAATTTCCTACTCATTGCGCTGGGCGGCACCTTCAACTGCATTAACCAGGTACTCCCGTGAAGTGTATATAAAGAGATTTGTCTACTGCATAGGAGTAGGCAGTTTAGTAACCAGTGTTAATTGATGCATTTCTATGTAGACAAATGTTTCCATGCAAACTAAAATGCTCTTAACTAAAAAGAATAAGCCGCACAAGGAGTGGATCTTTTTTTTTTTGCATACTTAATTTTTTATATAATAGCGTAAACCTTTGAAAACAATACAATATAGTACATAATTTACATGTTGCTTGTTTTGAGTGTTTCTGTGTTTGTTTTTGGATTGGTAGCGCCTTCAATAGTTGAGCCAGCATTGGAGAGCTTCAGAATGGGATGAACTGACTGGGGAAAGATGTAGATGTAGTTTTTGTCGTCTAGGAGTGTATGGGGGGGTCCACAGGTGGCTTGCGCTTATGACAAAGCGCGCGCGCACATCAACAAAACGTGAAAAATAAAAATGTTGCCGTCTCACATGATAATTCGTAACATAGTTTTTCAAACAGTAACATGGTTTGCTCAGTCGCAGCACCTCTACATGCCGCCCGAGCTCTGTTTCTGCAACATCTGGGCGAAACGCTGCGTTATCAGCAACGAGGTATCAATGAAGCGATCCACGCAATTGCTCAGACACGTTTCTGTGGCATGATCCAATTTAGTGCTTGGCTTGCCAATGCACTTCTCCCAGCAAATCTCATTGAATTCATGTATCTGTAAATGTTTCACATTTATATGCATATTTCTGTTATGAATGTATGATTGACCGGTCTTTGGTCTGCTTACACTTACCTGTGCATTGACCTGTGCCTTCTGTTTCTCAATCATCAGGAACTCCTGCAGTTCCTTTTCGTTTCCGGACAAATTCTCGTAGTCAGACATTTCTGGTGTGTGTTATTAGTAAATTGTGTCGAGTTTTCAGTGATTAATTTGCGAAATAAAAGCTATTGTAACACAATACTTAAATTGCTCAATTTTTTTGTAGTTGTCGTTCCTCTCAACTGATTTGAGGTTATATAAAGACTGTGACAGAAAAAGAGAAGTTACTTTGTAAGTGTTGAGTAATAACAACATGTCCAGGGCTGCAATCAAGTCAACAAAAAAGTCGACAAGAGGCAGGTGCCTACAATATTGAAAACTTATTTTAAAAAGTGAAGAATACGCCACTTTTAAAGTGATAGCATTTTCAAATGTTGCCCGAAAATTTCAGTGTTTTCTATAATGGCTTCTCGATGTGTTTTTAAAACGGACGAGTCAATTTTTTTCAATTGGAGTCAATTGATCGAACCGTCGCGCCAACATTTAAATCTTTTTGGAATGTACCTTTTTTGATTGACGTATTTTTAGCTTACGTGCACCAGGGTGCGAGTGTTTATTAAGTATACATATAATTTTAAATTTACCATTTTACAAAACCATATCGATAAATTACTGATACTGTTAACAAATACTTTGTCGATATGTTGCGACTGACCGTATTGCGTGAAAGAGAAAAATGGCCGCAATATTAGACTGACCCTGCGTAGAACATAAACTACCAGCAAAACAATAGTAATAGTATACGCCACAGTTGCGGTGTCTGTGTTCTAATAAAAACAGCAAACTTCACTGGTCCATTGTGCAAACGGTAAAAAGTGTTTGGTACATGCGCATATACACACAACCAACGCAGCAACAATAAGCCAACATATTTAGCAAAAAGGTGTGGGAAAGTAAGAGGCCGTCAAAGCAATAAACCCCAACAATGTGTAAGTAGCTTAGTTGTTGCTGCTGTGCTGTTGGTGAAGTCCAATAAAGACGCGGGCAGGGGCAGCGGCGATGAAACTGCAGTAATAATACAAAGAATGCGTGCACGCATATAAGAAACTGCATATAAACAAAAGTTGAAAAAAGAAGAAACATAAAAAAATACCAACGGCGACAAAGGCGAAGATAAAAACACAAAGTGAGCCAAAAATAGGCAAAATATTAAACAAGTTTGTTTGGCTGCAACGCAATAAAAAAAAGAAGGAAAAAAGAAAACATCGTACGGCAACAAAAAGTAAGGAGATCACGGCGGAGACATAAACATACGTACATATGTATGTGTATACATACATGCGTATGCATATTACTATTTACAATTTACATGTAGTGTGAGGGAATGCTGACGCTGCAGCTTTTAAATTTACAAACATTAATTCCGGGGAGAGGTCGCCGCCGGAGTATGGACGACAGGGGCAACAACAGCGAGAACGGTGCCAGTGATGGATTGATCAATGTCTATAACTATCATGATAAGAGCTTCTTCAAGTTCCGGACCGACGAAGATCTATACTGCGAGAAAATATGTATATTGATTTGTAAAACCCTCAAAATTCTACCGACGGCTCAGCTGCTTTTCGGCATATGCGAGCATGAGGCAACTGGCAAGCAGAAGGCGACCGAAACCGCAACAACTCCATACAAATGGCTGCTGCCCGATGCTAAGCTGAGTCCAGGTGTGCGGTACTACTTTCGGATGCGGTTTAAGGTACCGGAGCTGGATCGGCAACTGGAGCTGATCGATGTGCATAGTCATGACTATTTATACTATCAGATGCTTCACGATGTTCTCGAGGAGCACATCGAGGATATGCGGTATCCGAATCACAAGAACAAGACCATGGGCCTGGCCGCAATGAGTCTGCGTGTCGATATGCTGGAGAAGGGACGATCCCAGCATGAAATCGAACGAGAATACAAAAAATATCTGACCGAGAGCGTTAAATCCCAACACTTTTGGTTTGTCCGCCATCCGGTGATCAAAACATTTCGTAAATTGGTCGACGGAAAGCCGACAGTAGCCGATTACAAATGGCATTATATACACGAGATCTATAATGTGGCGCCCAATTATATGACCGAAGTATACAAGGCCAAGGTCGACTATTTACCCAACGAACAGTCGGCTGTGGTGGGCGGTGGTGGTATCGCGGTCGGCGACAGCATCTCCAATTTAAGCAATACCCTAACAGTAGCCTCCAACGTCACCCTCACCACCAACCTCACAAACGGGGGACGCAGCAACACAAGTGCTGGGAGCTCAAGACAATCGCGCAGACACGGTTCTTATAACAGCAGTCTGACATCAGCAGGCGCGGACAACAAAATACCCGTCTATGTGAAGCTATCGACCCACGACTCACCCGAACCGGGACTTAAGGTTGCGCGAGTCACATCCGATGCAACATTACAGGTAACTGAAGATTCCTTTTTAATCGTAAGTTACAACAACTTGAAATTGGAAAAAAAATGCAAAAAAAATAAAACAAAACTGATAAATTTCCAATAGGTGTGAATAGTAGTACCAAAAATATTTGCACTAAAATGGAGTCTGAAAGCATTTTCAAAGACACCTTTTCCTAGCTTGAATTTAACATTGCTAAAGGTAATGAAGTGAAAGACCTAGTAGGCCAATTAGATCGTACATATTTGTTGCTCTGCATCGAGTTGCAGACATAAATTCCATAAATGGCAGCTGTCCCATTGCTGCTTATGGCACGCTTCCTTAAACGTCCGTTTGCTAGCTTCCGAATGCGGCAAAGGCACTCACTCTTGTTTGTTTTTGTTGTTGTTGCTGTGTTACTTTTTTTTTTTTCATATCAACCACCAAGCTGTTTAGGAATGTTGGAGATAAACGGCTGGCTTGCTAAATGGCGGATTTCAACAAATAAATACATGCATGTACATACATACATATGAGTATGTATACTGATATATTTTGGGGCAATCGCCTCTTGTGCATCCGAGTTCTTAGCTCTTAAAGACGCGTAATTTTCAATCTAAAAGTACCTCTTTGTATGAAAGACCACCCAATGATTCAGTTAATAATAATGTGTCATTTGCATTATCAGTGAGGAAATAGTTGCTTTCTCTGTTAAAAGTTCGGCTCCACACAGAAGGCGAACATAAAAGGAAACCGGATTGATAAAATACATATATAATCTTAATGTGGGTCACTTTTATAGTATACGTAAACATGCATATATCGGTTCCAGTTAAGTCGAACTGGAAATATTATTATTTATGTTATATTTATAGAGTTTGCGTTTTAAGTGGGGGATTACCCGCATAATTTTGCTGTCAGGCTCTTGGCTTGCGAAATTCCTTTAGCGATTAAAGCCGTTCAAGAGAGCTATTCTACATTTAGTAGGCATGGCTTTAACTAGCTGATCGCTATTTAAACCATGAGTCTATATACGCTCGATTACTGCCTGCCCGTAACTTGTAATTTTTAAGTTCTCGGTAAACATACTTGTACATACATATGTACATACATATGGTCATGATGATCAGTGATCGAATCAAGACATATGTATATTATATTACCTTAAACGGTTTCATATCAGTCTATTGCGAAATGATAATGTTTGCTGTCCCACCACCTGCCAGAAATATCACGATCAGCCTAAAGTGATTGCACTGTTTGGATGATGATATTTGATCGCTAATCAATAATCAAACTCCTTTGTTTACACGCATGCATGAGGAAAGTTGTAGAACAACGACATCAGTAACTTGAGCATTCCATCTGTTTATTTATTGATGGTGTTTTAAACAAGTTAACATAAACAATGCCGCATGCCCGCAAAATAAACAAACAAACAAACAATCAGACTACAACAATGTCAGCCACACAATAATAATAATTGGTAACTGGAGGGGGGGGCGGAGGTGTTGGCTGTTAATTGGCAATCGAGATTCGTGATATTTCAGTGCCTTTTAAGAAGTACATCATTTGTAATGTCGATTTAGCCATCCTTGACAGTTTGAATTCTTTGTACCCCTCATACAAATGTATAAATATTTATTAGTAAGCATTAGAATTGCTTTCCAAATCTTTCATTCCTCACGTACGACACGAGCCGCTTTATTGAAGTGTAATGCGATAGTTCTTCAATGCCTGTAGTTTGTTTCCATTACAAAAAATCATATACTCATATATTTCCCGAATATGCAATATCAAAACGCCAAAATCTAAAAACAAAACCAACATGTATGAGCGGGAAAAAATACAATTCGTTTCGTTTCTTATTTTGAATGCGTCTGAGCAAAATACTTAAATACATTTAAATAGCGTCCGGTTTAAAAAAAAAGAAAAAGTATGGAAAAACCATATTTTAGATTTAGACAACATGGCGACCTTTGATTAATGGGTCGCGCTTTAATAACCTTCGACAGTTTAAACGAATTAGCCAGCTGTGCTTATCTGTAATATATAATATATATATAAATATTTCAGTGGATGTCTGTTGCTGTTGTCGAGGACATATTCACATTGTACCAGGAGGAGGACAATGTTGTGAGAATGGAAATCGTTGGACTGCCAAAGGGCTATCGCTTGCATTTCAATTCCCAGAAAGATACAAAATCGTTTCTATCCTATATAAGCATTTACATAAGGTAAGTAATATCATTATACTATAACTGCATCCATATCTAAATATCATTTCATTTGTAGATTGACCGTGAGATGGATGCAGAATACTTGTCCAACTTACACGACTCCTTCGCTGGAGGAGCTGCTACGCCTCAATTGCCATGGGCCCATCGGTGCCAGCTACTCGTTCATGAAGCTCCATGATAGGGGCAACAAATGCGGAAGTTTCATTGTCAGGCAATGCGATCTTGATTATTCAACCTACTATATCGACATAAATACAAGGGTGTAAGTATGACTAAAATCAGATTCAAAATACAACAGCTCTCTCTCTTTCTTCGATGATAAAAAAAGAAGCGCAATCAATCGTCTTATTGTTGAATATAAAGCAAAAAAAAAATTATTAAATTATAGAAAAAAAAAGTAGGATTCGTATTATGTCCACAATGGTGTAGAGATTTCGATAATGTGTACAACCTTTGGTTCAAACGAGAGAGTCTGTTGACTTTGTCTGACCAAAGCTTTAGCTAAACAAACAAGTTCGATTCGTGTTACATCCTTCTAACTATTCATAAACTTATTCTTTCACGTAAGACAACCAATTTTAGGGCTAACTTTAAAAATAACGTTAGAAATCAGCTAAGATGAGCGAATATAATTGCATATAGAGAACAAAAATTATATTTTCTTCTAATGCGGTGTACTTGTTGTCTGTTATTTGCAGAGTGGCTCGTACAAATCATCACGAGCGCTGTCAAACAGAAACGTTCAAGATCACACGTAGTGACAATAAGTGGCATCTAGTCACTAAGGAGAAGCCGGATCCGGCCTTTGATCAGCTAACCGATATAGCCAATTACATTCATGCCGAGAGCGAAACACGAACTCTGATACACCCATCCACCTATGACAAGCCGCCATTGCTGTTGCTGTGCCTGCCCAAAAATCTGAAAGCCAAAAAGACTAACATGGTGCTGAGCGAAACGGAATTGCAGCGACGAAATCCGCAAATATTTAATCCGTTAACCGATTTACTGGTTTTCGTAGGTAAATACAAATAGTAGCGCTAATTGGAAATACTTGGTCGTCATCAAAATTGCAATTTATATTTCATTTCTTGTCGTTTATTATCATTTCAGGTACAATTGGGTTGACTGGCGAGAAGAATGTGTACACAATGCGGGGGGAATGGATACAACAGGGCTCCTTTAAGGACGTGCCTGTCACGCTCAAATTTGTGCATGATGCCTCAAAGATAAATGAGTTCTTCGATCTGTCGTCCATCTGGACATCAATACTGTCGCCGCAGTTCGTTAAGCTCTATGGCATTACGGTCTCAAGGCCCTACACAATGGTCATGGAGTACTCTGAACATGGACAGTTGAACAGGTTCCTCAAGAACCATAGCGATGTCAGTCTATCCTGTCTGCTGGAACTGATGCGCGGTCTGGTGGGTGGCATACACTATCTAAAGGATCATAGGATTATACACAGCTATATACGTTGCGCCAATATGTTTGTCACCAAATATGATCCAAAATCGAATGAGCTAGTGGCCAAGATTGGCGACCCCGGCTTCCCGCGTCCCTACACACAATCAGAGTGAGTTATAACACAAAACAAAACTTATTCAAACTGGATCTGATTTATTTTATTTTGTTTAATACCACAGCTTGGCCTGGATACCCTCAAACTATTATAGGAATCTGGAATTGGCGAAGAAAGACCACAGCACACAGTTTTGGGCGTTCGCGACCACTGTCTGGGAGATATTTGCGCGAGGTAATAGCTCGCTAGAGCGTCTAACTCAAGAGGATCTGATCAAAAACAAAGTCACGTACGCGAACATACTGAAATCTCATGATCACAGTATATGTCCGCCAGAAATAGAGTTAATCATCATGGATGGGTGGAACGAGGATCCAGATAAGCGTTTCAATCACCTCAATATTTACATACGCTTGAATGTCATTAAGAATAGAATCGAAAGGCCCGACTATGAAAGCCCAGACGCAGAAGTCGTGCTTTGTAAGTATAGCCAACAAATAATAAAAATAAAACAGGAAACCCCCGCATAACAATACCCATAATCTTTTTTCCCTCAGCTGACACAAACTCACAAGGGAGCCGCGACGACGACAATAACGATAATGACAATGATGAGAACAACGAGAGCGCACAGACCGTTGGCCATAATCCGATGATGCTTATGGAAAGAGGCCCTATATTCCCATTCAATTGTGACTTCATCTGCACCCGAGTTCTATTGGTAGAGGATGGCAAGGTTATCTATCAGGAGAAGGATGTTATTGGCGAGGGACACTACGGGTGTGTCTATCGCGGAAAACTAGAGCTCAATGACCCGAGTTGCGGCAGCAAATTGGTGGCTATCAAAAAACTAAAAACCGTGAAGGTTGCCAACGACTTTGATCGCGAAATCAGCATTATGAGTAGACTGAATCATCCGAATGTCGTCAATATCCGGTATTGGGACGAAAAGTCTCTCAGCATTATCATGGACTATTACGAGCTGGGCTCGTTTTCCGTTTATTTAAAATCGCGCAAGCCGAATCCAGCCGATCGGATTCTTCTCCGCTATGCGCTCGACATTGCCAAGGTAGCTTTCTTTTCGTAATAATTGTAAAGAAATTATTTATATTTTTTGTTAATATCATTTAATATGCTTGAACATTTTCCAGGGCATGAACTATTTGGCCGAGAAAAACGTAATACATCGCGATCTTGCGGCACGTAATATTCTAGTTGATCACGACAAGGTGAAAATTTCAGACTTCGGCTTAGCCCAGATAGCCAACTCGGATGGCTATTATATAGCCATGAACGAACGCGAAATACCCATAAAATGGTGAGCACGAATTGGTTTTAATCCAACCAGTTAGTTTCATTAATTTATGTTTGATTTCCAGGTACTCACCGGAGGCCATCGAAACTAACAAATTCTCGTTGTATTCGGACGTCTGGAGCTATGGTGTGACGCTAATTGAAATCTTCTCTCGCGGCGAAGTACCAGTGCTAGATAAAGATAAACAGGATCCTACAAAGGATGAATTTTTGAATAGTTTAAAGGAGGGTAGACGGTAAGTTGTTGTATGCTAGTTTCTAAACAGGGGTCATCATGAAATTGTTCGCCTGTCCGTATGAACGTCGAATTCTTTAAAACCATAACAGCTAGCGTCATCACACGTGGCATTTAGACTAGTCTTATTCATATGCCGACCAAGTTTAATTCAAACCTTTATATTACGGCCTAACTATTTAGACATCTGCCATAGGAAGGCTCCGGTAAAAAATCACTACAACTTTTAAATTTAACATAAAAACGTAACTAAAGTTTGTGATTATAAATTGTACATAATGCGCCACTATATTCTAAATTATCATAAAAAGGATTTGTGAAACAAAGTTTCATTTTAATTAAGATTTCTTTTCTTTTTGGAGTGAAATTTATTAAAAAACATCGTACTTTGATTTGCCATATGAGAAATGAGTTTTTTGGGCTTTATTATTATTAATATTATCATATTTTTTGTTTCAGCTTTCCGCAGCCGGAAGATTGTCCAATGTTTGTGTACAGGGATCTGATGTTACCCTGTTGGAATGCCATACCCAAAGAGAGACCCAAGTTCAGTGAGCTCGTTAAACGCTTACAACAGGAAATTGGACAGACTGTAAGCATTGCTGCAGCACAACAGCAACAACAACAACAACAGCTTCAGGCGAATCACTTGCCAAACCATCAGCCAAACCATCAAATGAACCATCAAGCGAATCATCAAGTGAACCATCGACCGAACCATCAGCAGCAGCAGCTACAAGCACCGCCAACGCTACACAGAACATCAATCATTAATGCCGACTGACACAAGGATGAGGATGACGAGGAGCGCTACACAAATGAAACTGTTGAGGACATACAGCTAACAACATCGAAGTCCAATTAGTCCTATACCGTTTTAACTCTTGAGCTTTACACACCCAGCATGATGAACGTTGCTTTGCGTTGTTTTTTAGTTTTTTTAATTCACTTTATGTTGTTTTATTTTTAATTAAAAACTAGACTTTTATCTTATAGTCAAAATGACGCACCTGCCTTAGAGCAATGAAAGTTTCAAATCAATCTTTTTAAAAATCTGTAACACATTTGCACGACTATATATACAATAAGAATAACAGAAATCGAGACAAAAACAACAACAACAAAATAACATCAAACCTAGGTGTTCATTTAAGTTAAACTTCTTAGCTTTAAGCTGCGCACGCCTTGTTACTTTAAAGAGAATTCTCATTTTTATTTTGTTATGAAAGAGGAAAGAAACTTAGACGGAAGTGAGTGAAAGAGGAAGAAACATCACCACACCACCACCACTTTCTTACCCTATTTTGTTAAATATTGTTCAATTTGGTTTATTTTTTTAAATGTAACTACCATGTAAATAGAGAATTAAATTAGGATTATGTAGTTTGTATGCATGAAAGTTTTTGAGTTTTATAAATGTACGTACATATAAATGTAATGTGAAAACAAATTAATATCACAAAAATTAAAAGCAAAGAGTAGCTATATACATACGAGTATACAGATGTATATACTATATGTATGTAGTTATATATTTTTTCTCTGCATAAGAATGTAACTTGAACTTATTTTTAGTGAACCACCATGTGCACATATAAATATAAACCATATATTTTTAAAAGCTGAACTATACTTTTAATATGTCAAAAGCCGATATATACATATATACATATACATGTATAAAAATATAGATATATTTATATGTGTATGCAAACACACACATATTTCGTTAATATGTAAGACTTCAAATACGTGTATACATACATATGTGGAGAATGAAAGGAAAACAAACAAAACAAATGTAGAACAGCAACGACATAAATAAAAGATAACTTGTTTTCATAATATTATATACTTACATACATATAAACCTATTTAAATTAATTTTATTTCAGTCTATTTGCCGTTAAATATTTACACGTATACATAATTATTATTATATTCAAGGATAGGAAGATATTTAAATAGTCAATTGGGATTTTATAAAAGCGCCATGTTTGTCTGTATGTACATATATGTACATAAATGTAAATGCATGAACAAATATAGAGATCGATTTATGTACGATAATTTGTATATGTATGGATCTGTCTGAATGTGTGTGTATTATCGATGTTTACATACGCTAGCATTTTTACACGGATATGTATATGCAAATCGGCACTAATATCGTCTAACTGTTGATTATGTGCGTTTATACATCGTGTTTTAAACTAATTATTACATAGTATAAACAATAACAAAAACACACCACCAATACATGTGCACAACACACACACACGCACACATGCATACAGGACTTTTACGTACACATATACATAAGTACATATACGTAGCTGATGTGCGTGCGCGCCAGGCTTTGCTAATTGTACTGCAACAACAACAATGTTGATCCTCAAGTTTTAATTTACACAATACAAGCCTTTACTCACACATACATACATACATATATACAAATGTATATTTTTTGCTGATCGATTTAAACTGTTGTGAAAATAAATGTGAAGTTTTAAATTAAACTTTGTGCTGTCTATTTTTACGTGTTGCGCCAAAGAGAGAGAAAGAAATAGAAAACCACGTATGAAAACAAAAGAGAGGTGAAAGATTCAATACAGTTTCACAGTTTCTATTTGTTTTCTCTTTTCCACACTGAGGCATCAGCATCGGTATCAGCAATTTAGAAATCGAAGACCACGGATGTAAAAAATCAGTCTACTAGTATGCCCGCGAACTGCTTGACACTGCTTATATATTCCGCACTACACATACACATGTATGTACATATGTAGGTATATTTATGCTAACAACTAATAATCACAATCGTTTAACCAATACAACAAATGAACGCAGCTGTAAAAAACGCTTATCATGTTTGGAGCACGAGGAGATGCACAGGATCTTGCGTCAACAAGCTGAACACGGACAAATTGATATAGACGATGCATTACAGAAAACAAAGATGGACAATGTCTTGTTGGATTCTTCCCTTATGGCGCCCTTGATTAAGAGCCAACGATATGAAAGAGATTTTCGGTCATCTGAATCAGGTCATTCAGGGTAACAAGAATATGAATCCGATTATTCAGGTAAGTCGAAAACAATGTCAATACCCAAGCTGAGAAGATCGATGAGATACAGAAACTTATAAAAGACATGCTTGTTTAAAATTGAGTATTTATAGACCAAGTTAAATAAAATGTCCTTTCAAAAGTTACTTAAAACTTATTTATAGATTTCTCGTGATAACATACATACTTTCTTAGTTATAGTCGTTTACATATATTTTATTTCTAATCACTTATCATGCGTAAGACATGCTTAAATATTTGACTCTAATTGCCATTGAATATGTATGTATGTATATTATGTTTAAAATAGTTATTTACAATTATTTTCTACGAACTTTATACACTTGAGGAGCTGTTTAAGACATATTCTAATGCCTTGTTTAACTCATATTAATCAGAAATTCAGCAAATACTCATTTTCTGTTTTTGGAAATGGAGAAACAGACGTTTAAGTGACTTTTTATATTAATGTGCAGCTCACATTAATATTTTTCAGCGCTAGTTTGGATTGGGTTAATCATGTTAGGTTGTTTTCGAGTCTAACAATGATACGTCCTCCAATGACGAGAATGAGACTGTCGACATAGTTTAGATCTGCGTCTATATATGTATGTACATGTTTATAAAAAATAGCGGCATGAAAGGCATCCCGTCATTTCAGACTGTACTTGGGAGTCTCCATTCCTCCCGATGTGAGTATTTCCTAATCTCAGAAGAGCTGCCATGAATGCATTGTGTTGGCATTTCGTTTAGCCGTATGCTAGGAGCCCTCTGCATTCTTTTTCTTCTGCAAGGTCTCCATAACGCCTGCAAAGTTGGCCGTCTTCTTTTTGGCCGACTTTGGGGTCGATGTCTGGCTGCGTACTCGCATTTGTGTGGGCGCCACATCATCGCTGAAGTCGAAGTCGTTTGCTTTTTGAGGTCTGCAATGGGTTGAGGATTAAGAGGACTAGTATTTCTTCTTTTCCATTGGACACTTACTCTGGCTCAACAGCATCGGCGGCTAATTCCTGCTCCTTACTATTGCCCGCACTCAAATCGGGTGAAGGTGGTCGCCGGCCAGGGGATTGCCACTGCAGTTCGGGTATGTTGCCAGCCTCAAGCAGTAGGTAATAGCTCTCCAATTCTTCGATATTAGCCACTGATTTGTCGGATGCTGCCGAGGGTTCTACTTCCGTGGACATAATGCCGCTTATTTTATTTCTTTTTTTGTGTTCTTTGTTTTCCTTTTCTTTTACAACGCTGCCTGTGATCGGACAGTATCGATAAAGGAACGCAATGGTATCGAAAGGGCATGGTATACGATGTTTATGTTAAGACATAGTGTTGCCACACTAAAAATGTATATGCACTGTACACTGGGGCTGAGAATTATTAAATGTACATATGTATGTGTGCGTACTGTATATGTATGGCGCGCTGTTTAAAATCGAATATAAGTCGTTCTTTTTGCATATTAACGGCGGTCAGATGGAAATGAAACTGCAAGAAGGAATAAAGTGCGAATATACACTGCGAAAAATGTGGACTATGGATGTGTATACAAATACACAGATACACGCGCATGTTATGAAAATAAACAAACTTGTTTCGCTTGTTTGCTGATAAGGTTGTAGATTAAGTAAAACTGCGAATGGTTGATTTTAATTTCAGTTTTATTTATTTATTTTGTGATTACTAAATTCTTAGAACTTTATTCAAAATCATCATCTTGCTCATCGACTGGCTCGCATTCCATCGATTTATACGTTCATATTGCCTTCGTTTCTATTTATTTATTTTTTGGCCACAGACGCAATTCGAGCTAATGTATGCATGCAACTGTATGCAACTGACACTTTCCTCTTCTCTCCTCACCTCCTCATCATCGACTTATACATTAATATATATTATGTTGTTGTTGTTGTTGTATACTCGTATATAAAAAGAATAATTATAATTAGATTAATTAATAATAATCCATAATAATAAACACAATTTCATTGCCAAAAAATTTCTACAATACGTAATTAAATACGGATACGTCCTGATCGTTGGTGTTGTTGCCTCCGCCGCCACCGCCGCCTCCTCCACGATTCGAGGATCCAGAGGATTTGTTCGAGCCATGGGCAGCGATGGTCAATTGATTGGTCTGATGTATGACCGAGGTGATGTCGCTCTGCGATGCCGATATATCCTTGCTGGTAAGCACATCCGAGCTGCTCGATCCCGATGAGATGTGACGCTCGGTGATGCCGTACTGGATTGGCTGATAGCCATGACTGGGATTGTACGTGGCCGAGTATGGCATATAGATGGGAGGATTGGGCAGCGGTCCAATGTCGCTCGTGATGCTCTCCGTGTCCGCATGACTGAGCGCATGTGGATGGGGATGGCCACGCATATTGGGATTGCGTTCTTCATTGACCACATAATAGCATTGCTCCGAGAAGGTCAATTTATTGACGGTATGTTTAATGTAATTGTTGCGCAACATTGCGGACACAATGCGTCGGGCCTCGCGTCGATCCTGCACATCCTCGACATTCTCTAGCACCCAATTGACGGCATCGGCTCCAATAAATGCATTCGGTATGGTTATTTTCAGCCACATGCGATCCCTAATCTCTAGTCCACTATCCGGTTTGGTCATCGCTTTGACAATCTCCTCGAGATTGTTTTGATCCAAGCGCTCCTTAATGGGCTCCGGTATATCTGCGATAATACTGTCGTGTGAGGTCAGCGCCTGTGTGTGTGCCACCCAAGCGCCCGGATCTATGGGACGCACCGGTTCCGTGCGAGGTATGGTAAAATAACCTTTGGGATTGGGATCCCAGCATTTAGCCACCACCAGCTTGATGGGGCCTGGTTTTTGGACAACCTCTCGCAATACTCGGACCGCCTCATCATTGGTCATATTTTCAAAGTTGACATCGTTCACCTGAAGGATCATATCGCCGGGCTCAATGCGTCCATCGAGGGCAACGGCGCCGCCCTTCATGATGCTGCCCACATAGATGCCGCCATCGCCACCACGATTTGATTGCCCCACTATGGAGATGCCCAGAAAATTTACCGCCTCCATGTTAATAGATACGGTAATAATGTTCAGAGACATGGTCGAGTCGGTTATGGAGCTGTACGAGGAGGTGCGCGACATGCTCGGTGCTCGCTTTTTGCGTCGCTGCGGCTTCTTGCGCACCTGAAGGCGCTGTACACTGCTATAATCGGTCATATCGCGATCCAGCGTCAGCTCCGATTCAGTTCCAAACAGACTGGTCGAGTCCAGATCGCTTGAGAGCACCGATGCCGATTGATATGTGAGCGGTGGCGGTTGCAGCATTTGATTGGTCAACAATCCACCCGAATTGATGAGGCCAGCAGTTAGTTTTTGTTGTTGCTGCTGCTGTTGTTGTTGCTGCTGTTGCTGTTGTTGCTGGAGTGCCTGCTGCTGTTGTTGCTGCTGAAGCGCAAGCTGGCTACGCACCTGAACTCGTCCCCCCACAATGCCTCCTCCAACCATTTCACACTCACTCGCCGGCAATTCGGAGCAATTATCAGACTGATTTGTGCCATCGGCGGAGACCAGCCAGGAGACGACGCGTCCATTGAAGCAAGGCAATATTGTGGCATCGTCGGCGATCTCCTCCTTGACCACACCGAAGTCCGCGTCCATCGACTTGAAGAAATACTTATAATTGTTGTTCTGTTTGTTGAGCACCATTTTGAAATCCTTCAGTGTCACCTGCGCCGAGGGTATGGGTATTTTCACCAAATAGGGGGTGGTCTCATCGTCGATGTGATAAATGACTTTCGTCTCTTGGCCATTTGTACGTTCCGCATCCATTTTATTTATCTCAATTAAATTCGTCGAAATTTACGCGTTTTCAACTCTTATTTATTTATAGTTTACAATTTTCTTTAAGCGGCGGCCACAGCTACACAAAAAAAAAGTTTTTTTCATGCGTTGTGTCGCTGCGCTCCTCTCCTCTCGCTGCTTGCTTTTTGGGTTGGGTTGTTAGCAGAGCTCCTCCTCCATTTCAATGTGCTGCCTGCCGTGCCTTTGCGACTAAGAGCCAATTGCTGTTGCTGCAGCGCTCATTAGAATGGCCGAATTAAGCATTTGCACGCGTTTTTCGTAACTTTATTTAAAACAAAAGAACGCGAATAAAAACACCAAAAAACAAAGTCACTTTTTGTCGTCGAGTTTAGGGATGTAAGAAAAACCCATCGCTGCCATCGATTACGATATTTGCCTGTCGCGACATTGGCATATCGATGTGTGTATCTTTTACCGATAGACAATTCCAGCCATTTCGAATTTGTTTAGGTTTCAAACTATCGAATCAGCTGTTCTTTATCGGCTTTATGTAAATAATTTAGAAGTCACGCACTCCCTGGAAACGGTAGCTGAAAACTATGAATCTATCCTTATTTACATGTCTATCTATCAGTCTTGAGTCCTAGAAATATACTCTGCAGGTTAACATGTTAAGTAGTTTGATATACATATGCATGTATAAATTTATATTAGCATGCTACTGCTATTTGCGTACAATTTTACTTAAATAGAACCAACAACAATGTTTCACAACGGCAATTTTAGTACTATGGGTCCTCCTCTTATATGCTACTGACAAAGTTTTGGAAAGTATCGGAAGCAACAACCAAAATTCACTACACATATGTATGTATGTATGTATTAGTTCGTTTGATTTTAAAACTCCATTATCTCTCTCTCTCTCCTGTTTATTATTGATCTAGCATAAAGAACTATAAATGCTTACCATAAAAGTTGAAACACACAAGCCAAGCTCCTTTGGAATATCTTCTCATCAAATTATTGTACGCTATCAACTGTTGCTGTTTTGGTAGCGTATGTGTACTGTACTTATACGTGCTCTTATACGCGCAAGCATACTGTATAATTTCCTTATCTCGAATTCAAATAATTGGTTTGGTGTTGCAAAATGCCATAAGAACCATCCTTGTTATAGAAGAGATAGAAGATTGCGTTTCTGTTTTGGAATATCTCGATTTAGGAATAAAAATAATTATTTGAAGAGCTTACAGACTCTATATGCGTTTCAATTGAAGTTTCACAATTATTTTAACCAATTTTTGTCCTTTATTTCAATTTTTTATTTCTCAATAAAATGTACAGTTACTTAACGCTAATGTTTTAATAAATTGCATACATAGCTCCCTCCTTACAATTTCCTTTTTACGTTTGTTTGTTGTTTATTTATTTTGTATTCCCCTCGTGTGATTACAAAATGTTTGCATTTCAAAAAGACTAAGCTCTAAAAATTGTATTGATTATATGTATATAACAGATCAAAAAATATGTCCAGCCATGATCATGGATAAGACTGCAGTATCATGCCTCCAATATATAAATAAAAAAAATTCCAATATTTGCGTTACTTCCGCTGCCTCCTGCATTTTGAGTGATGGTGATATATATGACATACAAACATACATTTATATATATAATACATATATATACTCGTATATCTAGAAAAAGTAAAATAAAATTGCAACGCATTCCATTTGAATTTTAAGCGACATGCACAGACTTAAAATTGTTGTTTGTTGCTCTGTTTTTTTAGCATTCGCAGCTCTATCCAAAGTTCCTAGTACTCGATACTTTATGATTACTGAAATCTTATTGGTATTATTCATTCACATTCAAAGTCGGTCAATTGATGGAGCCATTTGGATAAAATAATCTGTTATCTATGATGTAAAAAATCATTTCTGTTTTTTCCTTTTCTTTGTATTTACAGCTTAGAACTTTTTTAAAGTAAAAAAGCCCGTTAGTCCATGCTCCTGAATCGTAAGCATAAGCTCTGATTGATAATATAATCATGGGATTTTATATCAATGGACCAACTATGAATTGCCAATCTCTGTGTGTGTGTTGGTCTATTTCGATTTCGTGGAGTATATATGTAACGGACAACTAATTAAATACAACTATTAAAAGCTATTTCTATAGAATTAGAGTTAGTTATATATATAAATATATATTTATATATATAGATATGAAAAAAAAAAACGTCTTCTCTAACGCTAAAACAAATTTTAATATGCATGAATCGACGTCCTCCAATCCTCCTCCACTCTAATGATACACTTCTTTTTTTTTTGTGTATATATGCACAGAGCTATTATACAATTACTTGGTTGGAGCCACCGTCTCAACGATGGAACTCGACAACGACAGGCTGTCGACAATGTCCAGCAATATTTCCACATCCTTAACACACGTAATCGCCCTGGGCGCCCCAATGAGATTGACATTCTTGCCCTCTATATTGGCAAAGAAGGACTTGTTCTTAAAAATGACCGCACGATCGTACGGTACTCGGCAATTAATTTTGTCCACTGCAGTGCGACGAAAGAGGACACACGAGGGCTGATATTTGTGGCGATCCTCTTCGGGTATATTAAATGATTTCAGATCCCCTGTGTATATCGTCATCGTTTGGCGCTGCATTGTCGACGGCGACACTTTGTAGAGCGTCACCTTGCTGGCCCATTTCAGGGACGGGACCTTTATGCGGGCCGCCACATTGGCCAATTTGATGAGCGGTACCTCAAGGCAGGCGCGTTCCCGGCGTGTTTTATTCTCCTCTGATGCAGAATCTTTGGGTGCACTGATAACATGCCAAGTTTCATAGCATGTGATCTTCTTTACAAGACGGCCATCCTCCTCACAAATGATCGTCGTTTCGGGTGGAAAGTATTTTGGTGTTGGATTTTTAACCGTTGTTGTGCTGGACTCCGCCACCGACTTTGCTTGCCCCTCGTCATCGTGCTGCTGAAGTGCATTCTCCTTAGATCGTCGTTGTTGGAGCGAAGGACTCGCTGGCTTTTTGAACACATCATCATCGGGAGACCCACTGTCGCCCAACAAATTGGCAAGCTTACGCAAAGAACTCGTTCCCCCCAAACGATTGGCATTCGCATTCACCGGAGGCGTCAGCACCGTACGCTTTTGTAGAGATGTTGGCCATTTCGAACTCGTCAACGCACGACGTGTCATTATTACGCGCTTTTGGCCATGTTGTTGTTGCTTTATTTCCTCTGGTATCTGATAATGCTGGACATCATCATCGCCATCGTTGTCGCCATCGATGCTCATTTCACACAGCTCTTTCCCCATGCTCATGAGCGATTGCTTAATGGGTTGAGTCTTCTTCCCCATTTCGGCATTTAGTATGCGCGGCTGCGGTTTCGCTCCAGGTTCAGTCTGCTTGTTTGCCGGGCTCGATGATCGAAATTTGCCAACGCTGTTCGTTGTGGCGCGCTGTGTTTGCCGGGATTGGACCAAGCTGGACGAGCTTATGTTCTTGTTGGCGCTGCTGCTGGTGGTGATGGTGGATGTGCTGGCTGAGGATGATGTGGAAGCGGATGTAGATGTCGAGGTGACGCCACCACCAACTCCCTGACTCTGGCCACGCGTCTTGCGTGAATTAGCTGCCGATAATGCTGCTGCCGCCGTCGGCGTCGTCGCCTTCTTGCCAACATTTGTAGTTTGGGCGCGCGAGATGAGTACATCGTCTTGATTGATAATGTCATCTATATTAACAATTGTAAAGGTAGGCACATCATCGTTGTTGTCACCATCCACTGACTGTACCGCCTTGGTAATTGCTGGCGAGGATTGCGATGTCGCTGAGGTGCCAATCTTGTGCTTAGCAGCCAATAGCGCTGTGCGTGGGATTCGTCCGGATGCCGTTGATGCAATTGCTTGTGAACGCTGCTTGTTGTTGTTGTTATTGCTGCTATTGTTGTTATTGCTGCTGCTATTGTTGTTGGTCGTGTTGGTAGCGAGTAGCTTTGGTTTGCTTACACCAGAAGGCGTAGTTGTTGATGACGATGTTGTTGTAGTTGCCGTTTTGCCATTGATAACTGGAGCATTGGCTTCGGTGGCTAAACGCTTGCGCGTCATTTCGCCACCAGCGGTTATCTCATCGAGCTTGCGCTTGCTGGCCGATGAAGGTGTACCACTTGGCGGAGGTGACATTGAGGCTAACAGACTGGACCGTTTCATATTTGCGGCCATATTGCGCCGCATCTGCTGTAATTGCGTGCCTCCACTACCGCTTCTGGAAGCGCTAGAAGACGGTGTCTGGGAATTGGGAGTAACACTTAGCTTGGGCGGGCGTCCACGCCCGCGTTTTACTGGCAGCACCGTCGACGTGACAGCCTTCTCGCGTCGCAGCTCCTGCTTGAAGTCATTCTCACTCAGTTCCTCTTCATCGTCGTCATCTTCATCGGATTTGTGTAGCTGTGGGTTGTATGCGGCATCTGCTAGCTCGTCATCATTGTCTTCATCATCGAGCAGATCATCGTTGCCAAAGAGCTGTTGTTGCCTGATCGATCCACGCTTGGCAGGACCATCACTGCTGAAGGTACCAATATATTTGGGCGTAACCATATCTTCGCTGGCATATTTGGGATTCGGTTTGATGGAGCGACGTGAACGGCTGGCGGCGATTGTGGGCGGAGGGGAGGCCTCAACTGCCACAGTCTTGTGTTGTTTGTACATTTTAGTCTGGTCCTCCTTTACTTTTGGGGAAGTAGCAGTTAGACGCTTGACAGACAAGCGTATTGGTGACTCTTGAGCGATCGACGCCCGCAGTGAATGCCTGCGCTGCAACGTTTGCAACTTTCGTGGTAAGCCTGAATCCGTAAGTAGCTTCTTGCCCTCTGTAACCGAAGCAAGGCGCGCTCTGGTAGTAATGGCTGGTGTCTTGGGTTTCTCTAGTTGCTGTTCTTGCCTCATTGGCGTTGTCGTTCGCCTGGGCAACACTTTGACAGGAAGGGCTGGACTAGTGGGTGATTTCAACAACTTGCTGCGCGGCGACCTTCTGGATAAAGTTGCAGTTTCAGCGCCAACGGTAGCGGCGGGAGAATCTCGTAGATTTCTTAGATATACTATGCAAGATCGTGTCTTAGCTGTCTCGGCTTCCGTTTTTTTTCCCCCTCGCATCTTTCATAAATCACTGTAACAACATAAGACAGATGAAGAAATCGTTGTTTTAATATTGAATAAAAACAAAACAAACGCTACCGCAAATATAAAAATATTGATGCTGCATGTTGGCAACTCTGTCGCATATTTTCGTCATTTTTGGTGCCCCATTAGCACCCAAAAAAATCACAATGAATGTTTGCGCGCGCGTATCCCATTGCATGCCATATCGTAAATATAGTATTAATCAGTGTGCACTTACATTATGTGGGTTTTACATTGTTTTTTTTGATGTCGTTTACTTTCTGATAAACCAAATTTCCGCGATTTCTGGCACTTTCACTACACTATTCCTTTTGCAGTGCTTCAAATATTTGCTACTTGGTATCAAATTGGCAACGCCAATATTAAACTTTTATGTCGCGCTCTCTTTTTTACGCTTTCACAGGGACTGTCTGCACGCGCAATGCGAATTGGTTGGCTATTAATGTGTGTTTTTTATTATTATTATTATACATTTGCATTTACTTTTGGTATGCTTTTTCCGCTCTCTTCCTTTCCGCTTGTTCGCTGTACGTCCAATTCTGAGCGCAACAGCACAGCACTGGTCTGCGGTGCTGCCAGTCTTGCGTTGTTTTTTCTACCCAACTGTACCCACACACACACACATACACACGCACTCAGGCAAGCAGTTGGTCGCAGCGAGAAATGTCGGTTAAAAGAATTTACAAATGACACAGCAATTACGTTGCATGGACGTCTATTTTATTTTGCAATAGCGTAATTGTTTTATTGTAATTGGTCCAGTATTTATCTGACAATAAGTTGACAACAATAACACTTCCCGCGCTCTGAATCTCGATGTCGATAGCACTGAACTGCCACTTGCAATAAAATGTTGCATAGCTGAGCAAAGAGTAAAGGGAGCGAAAGAGGTGCACAAAATAAATTGGAAATAGAAATGGCGTGGCCAGATGTCGCAAGAGGCATAGCCAGTCTCAGAGAGAGATGCCAATGTTGCCAGCTTGGTCTTTGGAAAAGCGAACATACAGACCTAAATAATACAAACACATACATATGTATGTATATGTATGTATTTTTACATATTTATAATTATGTTTTATTTGATTTGCTATTTGGTTAACATGTACATATATATGTATTTTTTATCTGTATCGCCTTTCCTTTCTACTTTCTTAACGCCGATGGCTGTGGGCAGCGATATTTGGCCATTTCCACCTCGGCTTCCGCGTAAGTGAAGCGATTGAAGGAAAAGTACTCGGGCACCTTGTAATCGCCACTGGCTGTCGCTCCAGGACCCACAGGCGAACTAGTTGGTTTCACACAGGAGCTGCTTAGGCCTGTAACATTGCTCACTGATGGGCCGTTGCCACTTGCTCCGGCACTTCCGCTGCTGGCTGGAGTCTTAGCGCCTCCAGTCGTTCTTTGTGCCTGGCTATAGGCGCGGCGGATTAAAGGGCTAACAGCGCGTGAACGTGCGTACATTTTATTGAGGCAATTCGCAAAAATAGGTATGTTTAGTATTCACGTAATCACACACCAATCCAACGTCAAGTGCAAAAAAAAAAAACAACAACAACGGTTGGTTTCTACCAAGCTGGCAGCACTGGCAAGTGCTGTCAACTTACACAATTTGCATGCATTTGTTTTGCATATACTATACAATAATGAAACTTAATTATGCTTTTAACGATTTTGCTATTTTTTCTTTTTGAACTTGGTCTGAGCCTTGCCATAGTGCTCATCAATGTTGGCCACGGGCATCCGTTTTTTCTTCGAGTGCTCTAGCTTTGTCCTACTTCGACACTTTACGCTGGCGGCACCCGTTTGATTTTTGCCCAATTGATGAAACTTTTTACGCTCCTCGCGTATGTCCCTCAGTCTCTTGCGCTCAGCCTGCAGTTCCTTGTAGTTCTTGTATTCCTTTTTCGGTGGCTTCATGCCCAGCTTCACCAGTTTAAATATTTCCATTTTACGCTTGTTCTTTATAACGCGTTGATTGGACATAGCAAAGTTGAGTACTTCGTTGCGCGCTTTCTTGATGTCAAACTCGGGTTGGGTACTGCCAGGGGTATCCTTTGCAGTGTTTGGTTTGCGTGACGGAGCATCCGGTGTTTCTTTTTGTGGGCGCTTCGTCGTCGATTTCGGTTCTTGAAAAACGAGAGCTGTGAATGCAGAGCTGGTGTTTGTGTCCTGTCCCATTTTCTGAAGTGCTAGCGCAGCTCGTGTTGGGATCGGCTTAAAATCTGTGCTGACATTCATTGTTAGCTGGGGCTACGGATAACAATCTACCAAGCCGTTGGCAATTTTACTTTTGTTTATAAACACCGGCAGCACATGTGCGCTAGAGATGTGCCAAACGATCAGTTACTTTTTCACAGCAACTTACAGCTGTATAATTTGCTTGTTAGTGGGTGGATAAATTAAATTGTCTTAATAATACAATTTATATCAGCCTCTAGCACTGCAGAATTTTTATGAAACATCTGTGAACAGCTCTTTGACAAAATTGAAAACATGTGCAAGATTACCAATAATAAGCTGAACAAATTTCGAATATTTCGATGTTTCGAGCAAAGAAAATGGCTTCTTCGAGGTTCAGTTGATGGCCACAATTCATTTAAAACTACCCTATTGCGTTATTCACCAAATTTTTGCATAGTACGAAAACTATAATAGACACAAAATTATAATATGAATAACATAGTTTTCATTTTGGCTTCTAAAGAAAAAGAAAGGTTTCTTATTAATATATTAAAATGAATTCATATTTCAACAAAAGTAGAATCTTATAGAATATAGAATTTTTTTTAAAGTAATTAGTATTTAATTATTCTGTACCCATAAACAACTTAAATAAATCCATAGTTAGTTAGTACGCAAGGCAATACACATATAATCTACAAAAGTTTACAAAATAACTTCCCAAAACCAAAGCGAGGCTGTGATTTTTATTACTTCTGTTCAGTGACCAGAAATCACAATCTTCGCCATACTTAGGAATTTGATGAGAGAATGTGCTTTTTTGTGCCATGGATTTAACGAGTTGGTCAACAAGTTGGCAGTCCTCGCCGTAGGCCGCACATGTTGAATTTTGTTCCCTACTCCATTCTTGTAACAGCGCCATGAAACGTCCAAAATTGACCGAACAGGAGCCGGATGAGCAAAAAGAACCCGCCGTAAAGCGCTTTAAAGTTCCTCCAGAGCTGCAGCAGAAAGCGAATGATTTTCTCAATGCGAAAAAACTCAATGTTAAGGTGTTAAATGAATTGGTGGAGCTGCTCGTAAGTTGTTCATCTCTCCCATAGTGTGTCAAAGCGTATTAATTGTGACTATAATTGCAGGAAAAGGAGGAGGGCGATGCATCCGGAGTAATGCATGTGCTTGAGGTTGTGTTTAAGAATCTCTTCAAGCGCAATTGCATGCAGCCTGAGCTCGAGGAAAACGGCAGCTCTCCAAAGGCAGCAACAGTTGCGAAATTTGAAGAACTCTATGAGAAAACATGGGTGCGATTGCTGCAATGCTTGAACAGTGGCTCTAAAGAACAGTCTGGCGCTGCGCTTAGAGTGTGTATGGAGTTGATTGCCATCGAGGCGAGGCATACCAAGCCGCCACTTAAGAGCTGGCCCACGCGACGTCTGGAAAGCATACTGCGTACAATGATCGAATCGGACGTGACGCCGCCTGTGGCATTGCAACATTTTCAACAATATGCCCGTTGTTTCGATGTTATCGAGGAGTCCTACAAATTGTTGCTCACATTGACGCCCAAAAAGTTCAAAGATACACCCAATGCCGCCCTCAACTATCTGGCTATCATCAATCTGCTTGATCTGGGCAAGAATATGATCAAAACCAGTCAACGGCATGTTGAGGATGCTCAGGAATTCGATTATATGAGCACGCGAAAAGTTGTAAACAAAGTGTGGAAACGGGTTATGAAGGCCATCAGCGGCATTGACGAGAAAGTTCATCGACAGGTTCTGATCGTGCTGCTGGAACGCATAATGTCTCATCTAAATGATCCCATAATGCTGACAGACTTTCTGATGGACTCGCTGCAACAATTTGGTGAGTGTTTGACATTCTTCCGTCTATTATGAAAACGCTTGACTTCAGCTCCAGCTGCAGTGGTAGATAAACTTAGTACTATTTAAAAGATCAAGGGCGTTCTTTTTCAACTTCTTGGCCAGTATATTTTTCAAAGTAGAGAACATAGTTCATAGCTCAAAAAAAAAATCTTAATAATATATAAATGTAATCGAATTTAGAAACGGGAATAGGATTGAATATATATTATGCAGCATTCTTTACAATAATTTTCTTACCTTTAATTATTGATTGCTGTCTTTCTTACAGATGGCCCGATTGCGTTGCTTGCACTTCAGGGCATCTTCACGCTCATGCAACAGCAGAACATCACCTATCCGGATGTATATGAGAAGCTCTACAGTATGTTCTACCCGCGCATGTTCTTCAACAAGTACAAGGCGCGTCTCTTTTACCTGGCCGACATCTTTTTGACGTCCACGCATTTGCCAGAGAATTTGGTGGCCGCTTTTGTCAAACGTCTGGCGCGCCTCGCCCTCCAATCTCCCACAAAAGATGCCCTCATCATGATCCATTTCATCTGCAACCTGCTGTTGCGGCACACTGGTCTACAGCGTCTCATACGTGCTACACCAGCGGCCAGTGGTAAGTACTTAATATCCTTTTTTGTAATCTTTTCTCAGTTTCTCATCTCTGTTGGTAGCTGTCGAAATAACCGATCCCTATGACGCCACCGAAACGGATCCGGTCAAATCAAAAGCAATCAACAGTTCATTATGGGAAATAATGTTGCTGCAAAAGCATGCCATCCCCGAAATCGCCAATGCGGCGCGCTTCATTAACAGCTCGCTGCCCACGCAGGAGGTCGAACTGGGACCACTGCTCGATATGAAGGAATGTGATGTAAGTGTCTTAACTTCGCTTTAAAACTTTAAAAGCCACGACAAGAGAAGAACCGGGTTTTGAACAACAAAAACAACTAAGAAAACTAAATGAATTAAGATTGAAATAGTCGTGGGTGTATTCAGTTTAAGTTATAAATAAACTAGAGCTGTACGCGTAAAAAGACCGTCACGAGCACATACATTCACGAAACCTTTTCCAACATTATATTAAGCGGCGTCATATTTTTCGTTCTTAATTATAATATTTGTTTAATCACAAAATGCAATACCAAATTTTCATTAGTCCTATTTCAAAACGAAGCAATGACGACTGATTTTAAAAGTGTTGGCGAGCTTTCTAAGCTCTAACAGCGTTTTTTGCGTATTTAATGTACGATTAATATTTAATTAATTAAGTTCTTTGAACGCGAACAAACAATTCTTTCCAAATATCGATACTAATTAGCTTAAAATAATTTAAAAAGAAAAGCCACAAATAAAGAAAAATTAGAGCGGAATCGTAATGTAGTCGATAAGTTGAAAAAGCTAAGGCGAAAGCACAGCTTAAAGCTCACAACAGTTTATCAGTTTAAATGATAAGATATGTACTATTTATTATATTTATGCAATTATATTTTCCTCTATTCGCAGATATTCGATGCGGAAGTGAAGAAGCAAGTGAAGCAGTTCGCACTGGCCTATGAACGGCCCAATAGTTTGGCGCTGCCCCAAAACGATATGGTCACCAAATACTGGAGTATATGTTGAGTTAAGGAACGCTTTGAAACTGTAGATAAAGGTACTAAAGTAAATTAAACGTGAATTGTGTTATATTTAAACGCGAGGTGGATATCGTTGCTGATTAAGTTCAGCTTCCAGCCATTTGGCGGGCAAGATGCGGAATAGATGCTCGTCCTGCTGTTGTTGTTGCGATTGTCGAGTCAGCGAAGCAACGACTTCAATAATTGCATTGTGACGTGGACGTTGCTTAATGGATACCGCTTTAAGCCGACGAGACTCCGCGCAACTGCGGCACGGACGAATGAAAGCAAAATAGATGCACTCTGCAATTGAAAGAAAGCTAAAGCCCAAAAACAGGCCCATTAAACCGCCAACGCTGGCTGGAAAGAAAGTAGAAAGCGCTGGTTGAGCAAACGACTTTACAAAGTTGAGTTGAATCTATATAGAGAACATAAAGACAGAGTACTATAATGGGTCCTGGTATAGCTGCGCGAGCTAACAGGAATCCTACAATGTGAGTTCGTTCCTGAGTATATGACTCGGACTCTTCAAAGTTCTCTAAGAGTGGTCTAATATCTAGAAATGTCAAACTTCCGCAGCACACAAAAGATTACTATAATGAAAATGAAAGAGATGTCTTTAACAAGGATTGTCCATAAATTTTTATACCCTGTACCCGTAGGGTAAAAAGGGTATATTAGGTTTGTGCAAAGTATGTAACATGCAGAAGGAAGCATCTCCGACCCCATAAAGTATATATATAGTATTCTGAATCAGCATGACGAGAGAAATCGATCTAGACATATTGGCTTCAAACTATAAATCTGATTCTTCTCAATTAATGGGGTCTACTGTAAATCTTTTCACTATCGGAAGAAACTTTTAAATATATTGCAGACTAGATTGTCTAACAAATCCAAATCGAAAAAAGCACTTGATTCCGAAAATCAATCAAACTTTTCAATTTCAAAAGTTCTGCTTTACAATCGAACTTATGAACACATTTAAAATCGTGTGATGTAATTACTCAAGAGACGTTATAAATTTCCAATAAAGCATAATTTGGACAATTTTAGAATGGAACACAGGCTTCTGCTCAGTCTGAGCATAGAGAGACCTGAGTCGCAACCTTAGAGACTTACACAAGAAGTCCGAGATGCCGATAAACTCGGTCTGTTTGTGGGCCCGAAAGGTGTGCTCTTTATAATACATGTTGACGACGGCAACACTGCGCTCTACATATGCCTCGCTAAGATTGTGCTCCACGGTGGAGATCTTGGCGTAAGAGGTCATCATGTTGTAGGTGAGATCGAAGCAGCTGGGCAGGCAATCGTCCAGACACGATTCCACAGCGGCGACCGTATGAAGACGAACGCTCTCGACACACGGCGACTTGCGAATGCTGCAGATGGGATCGTTACCCCGGACGCGAGGCATATAGAAGCTGATGCAGCCGCAGTGCTGGAGCAGCAGCCTCGACAGGCACTCCATCTCGCAGTTGCGTTGGGTGTAGTGCGCGAAATATCGGAGCTTTCCCTCGCTGTGGAACAGACAACGTCTGTATTTGCGGTCCAGGGAGCGGAGCTGTTGTTCGGTCACAATTTTCGCAGGCTCTATGCGCAACTTGGTCTCCAGACCAGGGGCTAGGAGAACGCCCGTCTCCCGCACATTTGGCGACTCGTTGGGACTGTGCAGGGATATCTTAAAACCAATGCTGTTCGAGGAGGAGCAGTAGTAGTCATCGGCTTGCACGTCCAGGGTCAGACTGAGACCCAAGGACTCACCAGTGCCCTGAGCAGTTCGTGGGTAGAAGCGACCCTGTGTGTGGCCCGCATATCCCTGTTCCGCATACCAATTGACAGCCCTAAAATCGCCCAAAGCATTGCTGACATTGCGCAGCGTCAGAGGAATACTGTAAGAGGATAAAACTGGAGCATACATACATACATACATATCTCTGAGCTCAGAAAAAAAGGTAATAGATTTTAAAAAGTCACCTTAAACTGAAAATCTCCTTAACTTACGAAAAAGGTTTTTTTGATAACTAATTTTCGATTTAGAAACGCAATTTCTTAAAACATTTTCTCTACTTCCCTAAAAGTTTTTTTATACCCTGTATCCGTAGGGTAAAAAGGGTATATTAGGTTTGTGCAAAGTATGTAACATGCAGAAGGAAGCATATCCGACCCCATAAAGTATATATTCTGAATCAGCATGACGAGAGAAATCGATCTAGACATGTTCGTCCGTCCGTCTGTCCGTCCGTCTGTCCGTCTGGATGAACGCAAGGATCTCAGAAACTATAAAAGCTAGAATAACCAAAGTTGGTATCCAGATTCTCCTATGTCCGAGAAAGTGTTTATTTTATTTTTTGGAATTTCGCCCCCCTTCCCCCGCTACAGAATTTCGTCAATAGCGTCCATGTTTCAAAAGCTACCATAACCAAACTTTGCACACATCATTTCTGTATAATTATCTACTTTTGTTTCAAATATCATCTAAATCGGCTAGTTCTAAGAAACTAGTTATTAGCGAAACAATTTTACTTCTCTTCTTCTTCCTTTGCTTATGCTAGAGGCGCATATAACTCAGTGACGGAAGTTTACCTGGGTACAGGGTATTACACTGTCGGGCTTGCCCGACTGTAGCGTTCTCTCTTGTTTTGAATTGGTATTAGAAAGGTTTACATTTCATAAATAGCACTGGAAGCCATAAAAATGTATGCAATGGAAAGATATTTTGTGAATTGGAAAAAGAATACAATGTAGGAAAACCTACAATATCATAAAATTAAAACGTTGCTTCAAACATAATTGTCCGGCTTAGCGAAGTTATACTGTATTTTAATTAAAGAACTCTTGCTTTTAGAAACAAGCTTTCTCAAAGCTGGTAGTAACTGGCTTTAGTTTAAAGGGCGATTTTCTAGTTTTGAGATCACTAACGGGCATTTTTTTCTGAGTGTAGAGCTTAAGAGGGAGCACAGTTGATCCCTCCAGTAGAACCCTCTACTCACTTGTGCTTGTACATGAAGCGTGGATGGAGCATATTGAAGACACAGCAGAGACCCTCGTCCGTCACAATCGGCAGAAACATGCGCGCGCAGTTGTAATCCTCAGCACCAAAGCGACAGCCAATAACCATCGCTTCGCAGGGCTGTGAGATCTGACAGCAGAAGCGAGGGAGAGGGAGAGAGGTGGTATTAGAGTGAGACAGACCTACTTACACTCACATTGAAAATGAACTGCTCGAGTCTTTCCCAGTTGGTGATCGCATCGGTCAGCTGCTGATCCGCACTGCGATGGCACAGGAGTTGAAGCATCGCATACTCCGCTGTATCGTTGGCGAACTGCATGGCTTTGGTGTATAGTGCTTGATTGAGATTGCAGATGGTTACAGCCGGAAATGGTTCGTTCGTGATGTAAGTGGGATCCGGATTGATGCCCACAATCACGGGCGTGGTGTTCCACTTCTCGAAGGCATCCACAATCAGAAAGAGAGCTATGCACACCACCGCAATCAACGCGAGGCCGAAGAAAACTCTGAAATACGTTATACTCGTAGCGTTATACTTACCTTTATCCGTCAAAATCCATCTGTACTCACCTATCGCTGACCCGTAGCTGGCGATTGTTCAAATACTTCAGACCATGAATCGTGGAGTTACGACAGAAATCGTCTGTGTTCTGAGCTAGAAACCGGCGCCACGTGGGCACCGGTGGAGGAGCCAGAATCCGTAGCTGACGCCTCCAGAAATTATGCCGCACACGATGTGCTCGCATCTCCAGATACTTTGAAAATGTCCAAAACCTTAGAGGGCGTAGCTTTTTCAAAACGATTTACCAATTCCTTAGCCATGCGATAGCTTGTTTATTTATTCAATTCGAGTCGCTTTGCTGCACTATTTCAGCATTAAAGGGTTTGTTATTTTTAAAAGCAATTTTCATGCGCGATTGCAAAATATATATAAATTCTATATAGCAAGGCTATCTATTGCTACGGTTGAAATTATTCTCTCAACCTTGACCTGTCACCGACGAACTGTCAAAAGAAGTTCCGTTCAAAAAGCGTTAATCCTTTTAGTGATTCTTAGTAAGCTGTCATGTTAAACTAGGAAATGAACTGCGCACTTTTGGGTCTTTTATGGGGAGGACTAAAACCAATTAAGTTTTCGACGGTAAAGAGGGTATATTAGATTTGTGCAAGGTATCGTCGACATGGGGTATACTCGTATATTTTTAATCAGCACGACGAGTGAAATCGATCTACACATGTCCGTCTGGATGAACGCCTGGATTTCGGAAACGGCTGAGCGGAGATTAACCAAAGTTGCTATGTAGACGCTCCTAGTTCTTAGACAACACAAGTTTATTTTATTTGTTGATCCCCCTCAGACTTTGTCAATACCTTCTGCATTTCAAAAGTTACGTTCTCTCTTGTTTCATTTGCGTAAGAAAGAAGATCAGATTATTAACAGACTGCACTGACAATACCAAAGAAAAACCCATGGGTTTTCGAACCCAGTCAGCTAGTGGCGGATGTAAACCATTTTTGCTTGAAGCTTAAGTACAAATTTCCTTTCGGAAGGGACAAAGTGCCGTAATGTAAGACGTGTCTTCTGAGGATGCAGACTTAAATATTTTAAGTACTTCTCCGTCTATTTGCTGTTCTCTCCACTTTTTATACTCTGTACATGAAATGTACAAGAGTATATTAGGTTTGCGGGAGCTGAAAAATGTAACAGGCAGAAGGAGGCGTGGCAGACCCCACAAAGTATATATATTCTTGATCAGCGTGACAAGACGAGTCGATCTAGCCCTGTCTGTCTGTCTGTCTGTCCGTCTGTCCGTCCGTATGAACACCTGGATCTCAGAGACTATAAGAGATAGAGACACCAAATTTTGCACAAAGATGCGTTATGTGTGTATTCTATACGAGTTTGTTTTATTTTTTTGATTTTCCCCCCACTTCCCCCCTATGGGGGTTTTCCCGATTTTCCATTCGTATAATCGCCAATATCTCGGAGACCATAAGACCTAGGAACACCAAATTTTAGTCCAAGGTGCCTTGTGTGAATACGCAGAAAATGTATATTTTGGAATTTCCCTCCCTCCCCCCTCTCCCACGCAAATGCGATTTTCTCTAACTCCCGTAATTCTTGGAATTTCGAACTAAAATTTTGCAAATACCCCCAGTTGGTTATCATATGTCCGTTTACCAAGTTTCACTATGATAGACCGATTTAACGAGAAGTTATAGCCATAAATATATTTGCTGCTGCAGCGCTGCTCAAGCGCTGCCCGCGGCTGTTGTTGATGTTGCTGTTTGGTTGACTGCGAAAATGCTTACACAGACACGAATAGATGCGCATAGGCATACATACACTCACACAGACGCAATTGCTATGTAAATGTGCAATTATACACCCCTTACGTGAGTTCGAATACCGAGAAAGGTAAAATCGATCATTGAATTTTTATACTCTGTACATGAAATGTACAAGAGTATATTAGGTTTGCGGGAGCTGAAAAATGTAACAGGCAGAAGGAGGCGTGGCAGACCCCACAAAGTATATATATTCTTGATCAGCATGACGAGACGAGTCGATCTAGCCCTGTCTGTCTGTCTGTCCGTCTGTCCGTCTGTCCGTCCGTATGAACACCTGGATCTCAGAGACTATAAGAGATAGAGACACCAAATATTGCACGAAGATGCGTTATGTGTGTATTCTATACGAGTTTGTTTTATTTTTTTTGAATTTCCCCCCCACTTCCCCCCTATGGGGGTTTTCCCGATTTTCCATTCGTATAATCGCCTATATCTCGGAGACTATAAAACCTAGGAACACCAAATTTTAGTCCCAGATGCCTTATGTGAATACGCAGAAAATGTATATTTTGGAATTCCCCTCCCTCCCCCCTCTACCAAGCAAATCGTAACTCCAGTAATTCTTGGAATTTCGAACTAAAATTTTGGAAATACCCCCAGTTAGTTATTATGTGTCCGTATGCCAAATTTCATTATGATAGACCGATTTAACAAGAAGTTATAGCCATAAATATATTTGCTGATGCAGCGCTGCTGCAGCGCTGCTCAAGCGCTGCCCGCGGCTGTTGTTGATGTTGCTGTTTGGTTGACTGCGAAAATGCTTACACAGACACGAATAGATGCGCATAGGCATACATACACTCACACAGACGCAATTGCTATGTAAATGTGCAATTATACACCCTTTACGTGAGTTCGAATACCGAGAGAGGTAAAATCGATCAAATTTTTTTTTTATTTTCTTAATTTTTTTTATTTTCTATAATTATTGTAAACATATGTACAGAGTATTTCAAAGTCGGGACACCCGACTTTAGCATTTTTACTTGTTTTATTTGGTAGTTGCCTGATTGGGTATCAGCAACAACCTCTATCGATCTATATATCCATCTTGTCTAGAGTTGCATCTACTCCTATCAATCCATCTAAGTCTAAATCTCTGCTTGAAGTCATTTCGAGGGCCAATCCTATTTACTTGGTATTTGAAGACGCACATTGTTTATTAAGACTTTAAATGGTGACAAGGATATTTCAAAAATCGAACTGATCGTGCACTAAAATGTTAAGTGAGGCCGGTTGAAACTGCCTGCCTGCCCGGCGATGCTAAGTGCCATGCTCCTTCTTGCCGTTCCTGCTTGAAACTTGATGTCACTTCCCGCTTCTCTAGCGGAGCTTCAAGGCGTCCTGGTTTCTTTTTCTTGATGATACTTTTTTGTGTTGCTATCGTGGATGGGGCGTCGGCTGAGTGTCTTACAACGCCTCGGCGCTATTGGAGACTGATTTACACAAGCTTGCTGGCATGTCGGGGTCACTCTGGATGGGCGTGGCCGGTGGCGGCATGGGCGGAAGCTCAAAATCTAGATTATCCAGAGAGCAGCTGCGCAGAAGTTCATCCAGCACAACGGTACGCAACACCTGTATCTCATCCTCGCACGCCTCGACGGGGTTGATGGGCTGTGGAGACTTTCCAGATGGCTTGGCGATCTCAGGCTCAAGTTCGCTGGAGCCAGATGCCTCTACCTCGTCCAGGGACGATGTCTCCACATTGGCTATGTAAGTCTCCGGCACTTCCAGACACATTTCGGAGCTGCTGGGCGAGGTTGTTGACGGCTGGCGTACGCAGCAAATGTTAGCCCCATTATGGGGCCGGTAGCTCGGCAGATGACTTCTCGCCGCAATTCGCCACTGGCTGCCACACGAGCTGCTGCCGCCACTGCCGCTGCCGCTGCTGGTACCGAAGCCGCCGTTGCTGCTACTACTGCTGTAGTGGCGCAGGATCTTCACCTTGGAGTTCCTGCGGGCGCAGCCGCGCGGTCCGACCACGTCCCGCTGACCGGGGCTTAGGGGACTGATCAGACGACCGTCGACATAATCGTTGCGGGGCTTCGCGAATATTCCAGCCAGATATTTCAACATATTGGCAAAATACGAAAAGATTTTGACCGGCAAATAAAATTATTTCAAAAATGTTTCAAATATGCTTGACAATGTGTGACTCAAGTACTCGTATCTGGATAGGCATTCGAACTGAACAGACATTGTGGAAATGTAACTCTAATTTTCAAGCAAATAGATTTCAAACGGAGCGGGTAAGCTTATATATTTTTTTATATTTTTATTTAATTTAATTTATTTAAAAAAATACAATACAATAGAGCGTTTAAACTAAATAAAACTAAAGAAATCAAAAAGGCTATAAAAATTACAAAAATATCTATTAACGAATCCGCCTCGGTGGGGGGACTTTTTTTTTGCGAAACGGCTATGCTTCGATTCACAGCAAAGAGTAGTCAGAGGCGTTATTAGACCTGACAAAAAAGAAATTGAGATAAAGAAATAGCATTATAAAATAGAAAAGTATAATTAACTTAAACTAATAATAAATTGAAATTAAAATACTTAAATAATAAAAAAAAATATAATTAAAAGCTAAAATGAGGAGAATCACTGAATAATGATCAGTCAGGTAGTTGCAAATAGAAGAGTTCCGTAAGGTGAGAGTGAGTTCACTTGAGAAATTAGAAATTATTATAATCAGAGCATAATACTCGACAAGGATTGTGCAAAAGTTCCTTGTTGGAAGGTACAGAAAAATGTAAAAGCATAGAGGAATCAATATCTCCGACAATCAACAGAACACCAAGAACTTTCCCACGTTGAGCTAATGCTAAAGGCATAGGTAAAGGTTAATAATAAGAAGAAGAAGAGCAACAAGAGAGAACGCAAGAACGAAAGAAGTGTAATACCCTGTACCCAGGTAAACTTCCGTCACTGAGTTATATGCGCCCATAGCAGCAGCAAAAAGAGGAAGAGGAAGAGCGAACTAGTTGCTGCAGTTTGGTGGGGTTGTACTGGCGAGAATTTGTTTCGCTAATAACTTTTCTTAGAATTGACCGAATTTGATAAAATTTTAAACAACAGTAGAATAGAAATTATGTGCGCAAAGTTTGGTTTAGGTAGCATTTGAAATGTGGACGCTATTGTCGAAATTCTGTAGCGGGGGAAGGGGGGAAAAATTAAAAAAAATAAAATAAACTCGTCCTTACTCGGACCTAGGAGAATCTGGATGCCAACTTTGGTTATTCTAGCTTTTATAGTTTTTGAGATCCTTGCGTTCATCCAGACGGACAGACGGACGGACGGACGGACATGTCTAGATCGATTTCTCTCGTCATGCTGATTCAGAATATATATACTTTATGGGGTCGGAGATGCTTCCTTCTGCATGTTACATACTTTGCACAAACCTAATATACCCTTTTTACCCTACGGGTACAGGGTATAAAAAGAAGAAATTGTTTCTGGACCGA